TAGTCATTCCTGGTGTTGATAACTTTTGTTCAAGACTGAGGATTTTGTTCTCGAGTTGTGTCATCCTGGTGTCTTGTTTTGTTAACGTCTCTCGAAGGTTCATATTTTCAATAACTAAGTTGGAGATGCATGTCTTTAGGGTATCTGGATCGTTGGTCATACCTGAGAGACTACTTGGTAGGTTGAATCTGGGGAAGAGAGGGGAGGATGGGCTGGTGGCAGCCATGTTTGTTGTTATTGTTGTGGTGTCGCCTTGAGTGGTGGTGAGTGGGGTGGTTGCTGGGCCGGCGTCCTCCTGACTACACTTGTTGAATAGTTGATTTTTCGGTGTTTTCTTGCTGGCCTTGGTGCTGTTTCCTCTTAGATTGCGCCTCATAATACTACAGGAATTGTTGTAGTTAAGAAGAAGTTGTAGTTATACAAAGTTTAGGGTTACGTTGTTCGGCTGGCAGCGGGGTGTTGTTTTCGGTTTGTGGGCAGTCTTCCTTTGATCTCTATTATTTTTGATTTGTAGGTTTCACTGTTGGTAATCTTTGGTCATTCTGGGTGCTACATTGGGTAGTGCAGTTTTGCTTGTAACTAGGTCATCATAGGAGCATTGGTAGCTCTGATAGTTGGAGAAAAGTACGGAGCTTGGAGGTCGCTGCTGCCGCTGCCGCTGTGTTTGAAATCTGAAAAACAGATGTACAACTTTAACAAACTATGATCTATTTGTCTAGTATTAAGTAGTCTGTAAGCCATTAAAGTTAGTCTGCCCATAATGCCAAGGCTTGATAGTGGCTCTTTGCACTGCAACTCATTTTTGTAATTACATAGTCACAATGTAAACTTGCAAGGAAATAAAAAGTTGTGTTTTTATTGTATTAAATACAAAATGGGAGTTGATACAGATACTTTTTGCTGATGATACTGTGCTTTTGGAAAATTCTAAAGAAAAGTTGCAAAGGTTAGTGGACTAGTTCAGGAGGTTATGTAAAGAAAGTTTAAAGTGAACATAGATGAAAGTGAGGTGATGAGGGTATCAAACAAGTTAGGTAAAGAAAAATTGGACATCACATTAGAAGGAGGGAGTATGGAAGAAGTGAAAGTGTTCATATATTTGGGAGTAGATTTGTCAGATGGGTTTATGAAGGACGAGGTTAACCATAGAACTGAAGGATGAAAAAAAAAGTGAGTGGCACATTGAGATGTCTGTAGAGACAAAAAATGTTATCCATGGAGGCAAAGAATGGAATGTATGAGAGTATAGTGGTACCACTTACATGGGTGTGAAGCTTGGGTTGTGTATGCTGCAACAAGGAAGAGGATGGAGACAGTGGAGATGCCGTGTCTAAGGGCAATGTGTTGTGTAAATATTATGCAGAAAATTCGTTGTGTGGAAGTTAGGAGGAGGTGTGGAGTTACAGAAAGCATTATTCAGAGGGCTGAAGAGGAGTTATTGAGATGGTTTGGTCATTTAGAGTGGATGGAGCCAAATGGAATGATTTGGATTGTATATAAATCTGTAGTGTAGGGGAGGGGAGGTAGGAGTTGTCTTAGGAAAGGATGGAAGGAGGGAGTAAAAGAGGTTTTGTGTGTCTGGGGTCTTGACATGCGGCAGGCACGTGTGAGCGGGTTGGATATGAGTAAATGGAGACAAATGGTTTTTGGGACCTTACGAGCTGTTGGAGTGTGAGCAAAGTAATATTTCATGAAGGGATTCAGAGAAACTGGTTAGCCAGACTTGAATCCTGGAGGTGGTGAATATAATGCCTGCATTTTAAAGGAGGGGTTTGGGATATTGTCTATTTGGAGTGACATCTAAACTGTCATATCTGGGCACCTCTACGAAGACAGTGATTATGTGTGAATGATGGTGAAAGTGTTTCTTTTTTGGGTCACCCTGCCTCAGTGGGAGACAGTCGATGTGTTAACCCTTTCAGGGTCCAGAGGCCAAATCTCAAAGGGTGCACCAGGGTCCAAGAATTTTTTGAAAAAAAAAAAAAAAAAAATTATTTTTTCTTACAAAATTAAAGATGATCTTCTGTAAGTAATAAAACCACAAAAATAAAATTTTCTGATCAGTAGTTATCGAGATATAGAGCCGTGAAGTTGACCCTCAATGACCTGGTGGCGGCAACATCGGCAACTTTTATAATGTCACATTATTTTATTTTAGGTTTTTGATACTTTTTTCTTTTCCAATATTTTTTTCCAGTAACTCTTGTGGCCTGTGAGACCAGTATAATGTATATTGTATAAGTGTACACTCATTGTATTCAACACAATAACTGCACTAATTTGTTTATCATTATATTGCTTACAAAACCTGTTTACAAGTTTATTGTAAACAATATGATGAAAATATTAGTGCAGTTATTGTGGTGAATACAACAGTACCATATAGTACCATATGGTTCAATGGTACCATAGGGTACAATGGTACCATATGGTACAATATGGTACAATGGCACCACATGCTACAATGGTACCATATGGTGCAATGGTACCATATGGTGCAGTGGTACCACATGGTCCCAAGCCCATGATGACACTCTTCAGGTCGCTTGTTCTATCTAGGCTGGAATATTGCTGCACACTAACAGCACCTTTCAAGGCAGGTGAAATTGCTGACCTAGAAAATGTACAGAGAACTTTCACAGCATGCATAACAGAGACAAAACACCTCAATTACAGGGAGCGCTTGAAGTTCCTGAACCTGTACTCCCTGGAACGCAGGCAGGAGAGATGCATGATTATATACACCTCGAAAATCCTAGAGGAACTAGTATTGAACTTGCACAAGAAAATCACTCACTACGAAAGCAAAAGACTCGGCAGACGATGCAACATCCCCCGAATGAAAAGCAGGGGTATCAATAGCACGTTAAGAGACAACACAATAAGCGTCAGGGGCCCAAGACTGTTCAACTGCCTCCCAGCATACATAAGGGGGATTACCAATAGACCCCTGGCTGTCTTCAAGCAGGCACTGGACAAGCACCTAAAGTCGGTACCTGACCTGCCAGGCTGTGGCTCGTACGTTGGATTGCGTGCAGCCAGCAGTAACAGCCTGGTTGATCAGGCTTTGATCCGCCATGAGGCCTGGTCACAGCCCGGGCCACAGGGGCGTTGACCCCCAGAACTCTCTCCAGGTAAACTCCAGGTACAATGATACCATATGGCTCATTGTACCATATGGTACTATATGGCACTGTTGTATTCAACACAATGAGCACTAATATTTTCATCATTATTTCATTTATAATAATTGTTTACAACATAAATATGCAAAAATGTTGTATATTAGTAATGTTCTATTATATATTTACACATGTACAGTCGCTGGACATGTTCCTTGAGGTGGATGACAAAGTGCTTTGTCTTGGAAACTGCCAAATCACTAGCTTGCGTCGCCACTCAGTCTTGGCTGGTGCCTCGTGGCACCAACACCTCCTACTGACCATATGATACAAGGTATCATATGTTACAGGGTACCATATAGTGCAGGGTACCATATGGTGCAGGGTACCATATGGTACAGAGTACCATATGGTACCCTGTACCCTGACTTTTTTGGGCTATCCTAGGATTTTATACATATGCTGCTATGTATGACAATCTATGTAACTGTATTTGTGTACACCCGAATAAACTTACTCAAGCTCATGTGGCATCGTAAGTAAGTTTATTTAGGTATACACAAATAAAGTTACGTAGATTATCATACATAGCAGCATATGTATGGAGAAACTAGGATAACCCAAAAAAGTCAGACAGACTTATTTCCATTAGGGTCCCTGTACCCTGTACCATATGGTACAATGTACCATATGGTACCATTATACCATATACCATTGTATGACATGGCACCATTGTACCAGACGATGCACCATCCCCCCAATGAAAAGCAGGGGTGTCACTAGCACGTTAAGAGACCATACAATAAGTGTCAGGGGCCCGAGACTGTTCAACTGCCTCCCAGCACACATAAGGGGGATTACCAACAGACCCCTGGCAGTCTTCAAGCTGGCACTGGACAAGCACCTAAAGTCAGTTCCGGATCAGCCGGGCTGTGGCTCGTATGTTGGTTTGCGTGCAGCCAGCAGCAACAGCCTGGTTGATCAGGCTCTGATCCACCAGGAGGCCTGGTCTCAGACCGGGCCGCGGGGGCGTTGACCCCCGGAACTCTCTCCAGGTAAACTCCAGGTAAACCATATGGTACCATTGAACCATGTGGTACAATGGGACCATATAGTTCAAAACCATAGAATTCCTCTTCAGATCCACTTCCATCAATCTTAGAACTGTAAGTTGTGAAGAGGAAAGTCAGAATTTGCCTAGAGAGTGAGTGGGGAGTGAGAGCTTCCTTGCCGCCAGGCATGATGAACAAAGCTACTTTGGCGGTGTTCCCACAATGCCATGCAGGCATCTAGATTTTTTCTCTAGTGTGCACACTGACCACCCAGAGCCTACCAGCCTTCTTGTGCTAAATATTAAACTGCTAGAATTTTGGCGTAGCTCTACGGTTTGGACCCTGAAAGGTTTAAAAGAAAAATTGGTACACAATCTTAGTGATGAGGTGCAGGTGTATGATGCCAGTGACATCATGGCATTACAGTGGCATGACAGACTAAATTTGACATTGGTTCACCACAATGAAATGAAAAGACACTGGAAAGGCGAATAGAGACACCAGTGAATCCATTCTGAAACCTGCGGTTGTCCTTGATTGCACCATCAATATGCATTTGTTGGACAAATGTGACATGCAGATTGGATTTGCTGATTGTGTTCACGTGAGTTATAAGTGATACATGAAACTCTTCTTCCATCTCATGGACATTTCCATACTCAATGCATGTATTATGTTCTAAATGAGGACTGGCAACAGACCACCATATGCCCAATTTTGCTGCTATTTTATCTTTGAAACATAGACTCCTTACTATTTTATCAACCTATACAGTATTTCCATGTATTTGTTAAACTTAACATTACATATAAACAATATTTTCCAGATGTGATGTTTCGAGTGTCAGTCTTGTCGATGGTATAATCTTCAGCCATAATTGTTCCAGTGGCAACTTCTTCAGTGGCCCACTCTGAAACAGAGACAACTTCCTCCATATTCTAGCCTCCAGCAGTGATTGTTTCAACCACAATGGACTCAATAGCCCAGTCTCCAGTAATGCCTGGTCCAGAAACAACTACCACTGTATACCAGTCTATAGCAATGACTGGTCCAGAAACAACTGCCACAGTGTCCCAGTCTTCAGCAATGTCTGGTCCAGAAGCAACTGCCACAATTTCCCAGTCTCCAGCAATGACTCGTTCAGAAACAACTGCCATGGTGTCCCAGTCTCCATCAGTGATTATTCCAGTAACAACGTCCTCGGTGGCTCAGTATCCAGCAGTGATTGTTCCAGAGATTGCTACCTCAGTGTTCCAGTTTCCAGCACTGATCGGTCCAGAAACAACTACCTTTGTGGCCCAGTCTCCATCAGTGACTGCTCCAACAACAACTGCCTCAGTGGCTCAGTCTTCACCAGGAATTGATATGGAGACATCTGCCTTGATGACCCAGTTTGATGTGAAAAAATCTACAGTAATGCAAATAAGAAGTGATGAAGAAGGGAAATCATATTGGTGTCCTAAGTGTTTTAAAACATTCACAGAAAAAATTGATTTTGTGACACACATGAAAAATCACAAAAGAAGAAAACGATATCAATGTTCAGAATGTCTGAAAAAATTTTCTGACAAATCTAATCTAATGAAACACATGAGAAATCACAAAGCAAAGAAACATTACAAGTGCTCAGTGTGTCAAAAAAAATTAGCATGCAGAGCTAGTCTAGTGACACACATGAGAATTCACACGGGAGAGAAACCATATAAGTGTACAGTGTGCCCAAAAAGCTTTGCTTGTAGATCTTCTGTAGTGTCACACATGAGAATTCACACAGGAGAGAAACCTTATAAGTGTTCAGTGTGCCAAAAAAGATTTACTTGTAGATCTTCTGTAGTGTCACACATGAGAATTCACACAGGAGAGAAACCATATAAGTGTTCAATGTGTCTGAAAGAATTTGCATGCAGATCTTCTTTAGTGACACACATGAGGATTCACACAGGAGAGGAGCCATTTAAGTGTTCACTGTGTTTAAAAAATTTAGCATGTAGATCATCTTTAGAGACACACATGAGAATTCACACGGGAGAGAAACCATATAAATGCTCTGATTGTTTAAAAGGCTTTACAGACAGATCTTCTCTAGTGAAACACATAAAAGTTCACACACAGGAGACACTGTTCCAGTGCTCAGTGTGTCTAAGAGAATTTAAACTCAAATCTTCTCTAGAGTTACACATTAAAACTCACACAACACCTAAACCATACCAGTGTTTGGTGTGTCTCAAAGATTTTTCAAGAAAATCAGTGTTAGTGACACGTATCAGAACTCTCACTGAAAAGAAACCATATCAGAAGTCAGAGTGTCTAAAATGTTTTATGCAAAAAGTTAATCATGTAAGACATATAGGGACTGATTCAGAAGATAAACCTGATCAGTATTAAAAGAATCTTTAAAATGTTTAAATAAAATCTGATCCTTTGTTCAAAACTAAATACAGTGGTACCTCGGCATATGAGCAGCTCCCAACTCGAACAATTATGTAAGTGTATTTATGTAAGAGCTTTTGTAAGTGTATGCTTGGGGGTCTGAAACGGTTTAATCTAATTTACATTATTCCTCATGGGAACAAATTCGTTTGGTATCGGCACTCGAACAGCCTTCCGGAACAAATTAAGTATGTAACCTGAGGTACCACTGTACCCCCATCTTCACACAACAGCAAAAAAAAGTACTGCATCTTATTGTTGTAAGTCTTAATTTTTATTACAATATAACTTTCACTTTTGTCACTTGGTTTAGACAACCATTGCATACTAACAATACTGTTAGTTGTTACACAGATGATGAGTAAGAATTAGGAACTATAAACTGGAACTGGGCATTAGGTAAAATTGAGTAGCTGACTTGACAAATTATGTATAACCAGATTTTTGTCAAATGGTTATTTATTTTAGTATGACAGTTGATTTTTATGTAGGTAGTAGGTTGGTAGACAGCAACCTCCCAGGGAGGTACTGCTGTCCTGCCAAGTGAGTGTAAAATGGAAACCTGTAATTGTTTTACATGATGGTAGGATTGCCAGTATTTTTTTTCTGTCTCATAAACATGCAAGATTTCAGGTACGTCTTGCTACTACTTCTTACACTTAGGTCACACTACACATACATGTATACAAGCATATATATACACACCCCTCTGAGTTTTCTTCTATTTTATTTCTAGCGCTTGTTCTTGTTTATTTCCTCTTTTCTCCATGGGGAAGTGGAACAGAATTCTTCCTCCGTAAGCCATGCGTGTTGTAAGAGGCGACTAAAATGCCAGGAGCAAGGGACCAGTAACCTCTTCTCCTGTACAAATTACTAAATTTAAAAAGAAAAACTTAAGTTTTTCTTTTTGGCCGACCCTGCCTTGGTGGAATACGGCTGGTTTGTTGAAAAAAACAAATTGATTTTTACTAAAATTGTTGTTTTTAACATATACAGTGGACCCCCGGTTTATGATCAGCTCCCAATGTGACCAATTATGTAAGTGTATTTATGTAAGTGCATTTGTATGTGTATGTTTGGGGGTCTGAAATGGACTAATCTAATTCACAATATTCCTTATGGGAACAAATTCGGTCAGTACTGGCACTTGAACATACTTCTGGAATGAAATAATATCATAAACCAGGGGTCCACTGTATTAGTAAGAATGCTAATTTCTTACAGTAAGAGGATTAATTTCTGTTATACACCTGATTAATGTAAGATTTCAAATTTCTCTGACACCTAATTTGTGTACTGATTAATTATAAAGTGATAGATTTCTGTAGAACTGTGCAGTGCTTTACAGCCATTAGGATTTAGTATTTTTTCATATTTAAAATAAAACATATCATTGTCTTTCGTAAGATTATTTGCTGAAAACCTGTGCTGGCAACACACGAGAACTAACACAAGAAAGAAGTCAAGTTTGTTCCCAGAATTCTTTTTGCAAAAATTATCTTGACAAACGCAATACAGCCTCTCCTAACATAATGACGGAGTTTCGTTCCTAAGACCACGTTGGTAAACAAATTCGTCGCTAAGTGAGGAGCATACTACATATAATGGTAGTGGGAGTGTGTCAACCATCTTTGATATTGCTTTAACACTTTAGTGTCAGTCCTGGAATTTTATGGCTTTAGAGCCAGTGTCAGTCCCTTAACCCTTAATCAGTCCAAAAGTATATATACATGTACGTTCACTCGCGTAGCGCCTCAGATTTTTTGAGAAAAAAATCTTTTTTTTTTATAATAGGAAAAAAGAGCATATGGTACCCAGGTGTCCCCAATTATTTTAATATGGCACACAGTGAATGCACACACCCTTTCTCTCATGTCTAGGCGACTCAGGCTTATCGTGGCAATGTTGAATGACAAAGAAAACGTATATATACGTTTGGGGCGCTACGCAAGAGAACGTATACAGGTCTCCCTCAACATTCACGAGGGTTAGGGGATCAAGAGCCTCGCGAATGTTGAATAACCGTGAATGTTTGGTGCCCCAATATATTGTAGGGAAATATAATACAATACTGCTTCCTTAACTTGTTGAACCATGAACAATCATAAAATACATGAAAACGTCGTAAATTGTACTAAATACATACGTTATGCCTTAACAACATGTATGTTATCAAATTAACCCTTTGACTGTTTCAGGCCCCTCTCTGAAACTGTCATTCTATGTCGCTCAATTTTTGAAAAAAAAAAAAATGATTTTTTCTTATGAAATGATAGAGAATCTTTTCCCGATGGTAATGACACCAAAAGTTCGAAATTTGGTCGAAAACTCGTTGAATTATGCTCCCGCGAAGTTAGCGGTCTCGGCGACATATGCGTATCGGCGATTTCGCCGACTTTGAGCCCTATTTTCAGCCAATTCCATTGTTCCAGTTGACCAAACTCATAGCTATTTCTTTAGAACTCCATTTTATCTATCAGCTGAGTACAAGAAACCTCCCATTTACTAATTTGGACTACCCAATATGGTGGTCAGAATTTGGCAATTTGGCCAATTTCACGCAAAATAAAAAAGATGCCAATTTCAAAATAGGGTCCAGAATAAACAAGGTAGACATTCGTGGCACTAAAATAACATATGCTCTGTTCATTAGTCACATCTCTAGGCCCCTCTTATATTATTATTGCTTTCTATTTTGATTTTTTATTCATACAAAAAAATACAAAATTTACTGTTATGCAGACGACTGCATTATTGTAAAAATGGTATAAATAATATCAGTGCACTAGTGAAAGAATATTAGACTCCCCAGTTGATGTGTATTGGATGTGTGGTGTGATTTATTTACTCTTGAACATTGGTAAAAATCGAACATTTCCGCTACTTTGAGCTCAGTTTCAAGGTCGTTTTCATCGTAAAAGTAATGAAAATCATCTCTGTTTCTGTAATATGTTTTCCATTTTATCACCTAAGACCATGAAAACGCGAATACAACGATAAATACTATACGAAAATACACATCAAAGTCGGCGTTTTATTCCAAAAAAACGATCAGAGTTTTTTTTTTCTCATTATGCAATGTGTGCTGCAGGATTTTTTTTATGTGGTGCACACTGACCACACAGACCCATTCTCTCACATGTGGGCCTACCAGCTTTCTCCCACTTGATTTGAAGCCGCTAGAATTATTGAGTATATATACGTCAGAAACATTGGCTCGTAAGACGTATTTATACGTCGAAAACAGTCAAAGGGTTAAATACCACTGCCTCCACCACTGCAAGTCCCTACTACCCTCCCTCCAACCCCCCACAACTGGCAGCCAGCCCTCCCACCACTGTGTGGTGAGTGTTTTGTTTGTTCATTATTTGCTATTAAACTACAGTATAAATAATGTCAACCCATTTATGACTGCATATTGGAATGGCTATTCGGACAGGTATTGGAAGGTGACATCGTGTGTTTACTCTTGAACACAGCAAAGAATCAAACATTTCTGCTACTGCTAATAATAATAATAATAATAATAATAATAATAATAACATAAAAATAATAATAATATAAAAATAATAATAATAATAATAATAATAATAATAAATACGATAGAATTGAAGAAGGAAATTGTACAAAAATACGAGGGTTGAAGCAGTGGTGGAGGAAGTGGTTGACGCAGTGTCAGTGTGGCTTTGTTTATGCTGGAGTGAGTATTAGTCTCCATGCTCTTCCAAACATTTCACAATAATTCATTGTATTTGATGCTTGTAGATTGAGTGTGACTGGAGTGGTTGAGGCAGTGGTAGAGGCAGTGATAGAGGCAGTGGGTGAGGCAGTGGTATTTACTAACATATATGTTATAAATAATAATAGTACATGTTAATATTAATAACATTTATAATAAAAAATGTTATTCATAATATACTATTATTATTTATAACATATATGTTAGTAAATATCACTGCCTCTATCACTGCCTCTACCACTGTCTCACCCACTGTCTCACCCACTGTCTCACCCACTGCCTCTACCACTGCCTCTACCACTGCCTCAACTGCTGCCTCACCCACTGCCTCTACCACTGCCTCAACCACTTCAGTCACACTCAATCTACAAGCACCAAATACAATGAATTATTGTGAAATGTTTGGAAGAGCACGGAGACTAATACTCACTCCAGCATAAACAAAGCCACGCTGACACTGCGTCAACCACTTCCTCCACCACTGCTTCAGCCCTCGTATTTTTGTACAATTTCCTTCTTCAATTCTATCGTATTTATTATTATTATTATTATTATTATTATTATTATTATTATTATTATTATTATTATTATTATTATATTGTAATAAAGTTGGTAGAATTACCGACAATATGTAAAGTAAAAGGACACAAGTGCAACTAATGTGACATTTATTGTGGCAACGTTTCGCTCTCCAGGAGCTTTATCAAGCCAATAATGGCTTGATAAAGCTCCTGGAGAGCGAAACGTTGCCACAATAAATGTCACATTAGTTGCACTTGTGTCCTTTTACTTTACATATTAGTATTATATTAATATTATTATTATTATTATTAGCAGTAGCAGAAATGTTTGTTTCTTTGCTGTGTTCAAGAGTAAATACATGATGTCACCTTCCAATACCTGTCCGAATAGCCATTCTGATATGCAGTCATGGATGGGTTTACATTATTTATACTGTAGTTTAATAGCAAATAATGAACAGCAAATAATGAACAAACAAAGCACTCACCACACAGTGGTGGGAGGGCTGGCTGCCAGTTGCAGGGGTCGGAGGGAGGGTAGTAAGGACTCGTGGTGGTAAACTTAAATATGATTTGGCAGCTGGGAATTTGGCGGTTGGGAATTCGTGAATGTGTGAAGCCTGCGAAAGTTGAAAACGCAAATGTTGAGGGGGACCTGTATATGCGTTTGGATCGTTTAGGGGTTAATACTACGCCAAAATTCTAGCTCTATTAAATCTGGTGGAAGAAAGCTGGTTGGCCTACATATGAAAGAATGGGTCTGTGTGGTCAGTGTGCGCAGTATACAGGTCTCCCTCAACATTCGCGAGGGTTAGGGGATCAAGAGCCTCGCGAATGTTGAAAAATCACGAATGTTTGGTGCCCCAATATATTGCAGGGAAATATAATAAAATAATAAAATAAAATAATCTATGTATATACGTACATGTTCCTCCCACTCATATATTTGTCCAATCTCTCTTTAAAGCTACCCAAGGTCCTATCAAAGCTAAAACCTTGAGTAGCTTCACATTTAGGTTGGATAAATACATAAGTGAGAGGGGATTGGATTTGAATGGGACTTGCATGCGAGCAAATAGAATGCTCAAAGCTTATTGCTTGGGTAGCATTTATTCTGTTAGTGGGTTGGATTTGTGAAGGACCTGAGTAGTATGGGCCAACAGGTCTACTGCAGTGTTCCTCCTTTCTTGTGTTCTCATGAACAATCATAAAATACGTACCTAAGAACATCGTAAAATATTGTACTGCCTCCACCACTGCCTCGTATTTTTATACAATTTCTTTCTTCAATTCTTTCGTGTTTCTCAGTTTCTTTACCAAAATTTATTTGGGCCCATGGTTAATTATGTAGCAGTCACACTCAATCAACAAGCACCAAACACAATGAATTATTGTGAAATGTTTGGAAGAGCGCAGAGGATAATGCTCACTCCAGCATAAACAAAGCCGTACTGACTGACGATGCCTCTACCACCCACTGCTTCAACCCTCGTATTTATTATTATTATTATTATTATTATTATTATTATTATTATTATTATTATAATTCTTATTATTATTAGCAGTCATGAATGGGTTGACATTATTTATACTGGAGTTTAATAAATAATGAACAAACAAAACACTCACCTCTCGTAAGGCAGACGAACTCTGATGACTTGTGATGATTAAAAAAATTTAAGTTATAATTCTTTATTTCTCTATTGATATTACACACAGTTACTGATGACAGTTGAATGGAGATGATTATATGGAGTGTAACTGCATGGCATGATGAGACTAGTGTGTGGATTTTAAGTCTTCACTGCCTCAGGTGAGGCAGTAGGAGTAGTGGTAGGCTTCCTTGTGAAGAACATTGTGATGGGCAACTGAGACCATTTCCTCTTCATATCTACAAACAGAGTTTGGTAGAGAATTATGGTCTTATCAAGGTCGTTCATCACCTTCAAAGCCCTCAACATCGATGGGTCTATGTCGTATATAAATTGTTTGAGCTGCGCTGTCATTCTCATCACCTGCCCAAGTTTTTCAAGGGCGAGGGCTTGAGATTGATTGGCTTCAGCAACACTTTCCTCTTCTTCATCCTCATTCTCTGCCTGCACAATCTCCAACAATTCTTCATCATTTAGGCCCAGTGC